GCCCATCAGCCGTCTGTACTAGCAATGCAGAATCCCATGATTCTAGAGCAACAAATCAATGGTGGCACCTCTGGCAGGTGCTGAAAGGCCCAGCAATAGGGCCAGAGTTTTGGAGCCGTGGGTCTGGGGGGGGGGGTGTCTCTGGAACAGCCTTGGAATCTACCAGTCCTCCCCTGAGGCTAGAAGAGCTGCTCCTTAGGAAAGAGACATGAATCATCCAGAGGCACCTCTAGAGACTAGTTTTTGATGAATATTCCTGCCACTGGTGCTAATTTCCTGAAAGGCTTTTCTTCCACCTTCAGGCTCCCCATTAAAAGGGTTCTTGCTCCTCCACTGCAGGAGATCCATAATGACCACCCAGGGGCTCCTTGGTGAGGTCACAGGCATGCTCTCCCACAACGCCCGTGGCTGAACGGGAGTGAGTAGGAGTCCTGGACCACAGATGGAGGAGACTGGGTTGGAGTAGTGTCCCACCACAGGCATTGTTCCCAGCACACAGCTGAGGAGAACCAGGCCCAGAGAGGCAAAGGGCCAGGAGGAACAGGCCCAGACAGGAACACACTCAGAGGGACAGGCCCAGACAAGAACACACAGCTCCCAAATTCTGCCTACAAGAGGCCTGCTGAAGTCTGCTTCATGAGGTCATCTGACCTCAGCCTCTGGGTTCTTTCAGGGCTCAAACAGGCCTTCCTCCCCTTCTGATTTGCTCACAGACAAATAGGCACAAACCCAATTCCCTGTGGCCATGGAGCTATCATTGTGATTACAGAGGGTCAGTGGTGGGAGGCTAGAGGGCTGTCTTGATCGGCTTTCTCTGGGGGCGAAGGGGGAGTGGAGGGGCTTCCCCAGCCAACACCTAACCTGCCTTTACACCTAGCCTGGATTTTATGAACTTATTTGCTCTGCACCACCCGCCCCTGGTCTCCCCGCCCCTTCCCCCCCTCGCCTTCTACTTTGTCCGCCAGTTACTCTGTAACCTCAAAGAGCCTTCTGGAAGATAAGTCTGACCAGGACATGTTCCTTCCATGGCTCTTCAATGCCTCACGGTAGAGTCCATGATCCCTCCCAGACTGTTTCCTCTCTTTAGACTTCCTGTGTGGGCCATACTGACACAGAGCTGCTGGGATGGAACAGGCTAATTCCTGCCTCTAGGCCAGTGGTTCTCAACCTTGGCTGCACATTAGAATCACCTGGGAATCTTTTTAAAATCCTGATTTCTGGGCCTCATCCTCTGGAAATTCTGTTTCTTTGTTATGGGGTGAGGCCACAACATTAGTAACAAAGAAACAGAATTTCCGGAGGATGAGGCCCAGAAATCAGAATTTTAAAAAGATTCCCACATGATTCTAATGTGCAGCCAAGGTTGAGAACCACTGCTCTAGGCCTTTGCTCCTGCTGTATCCTCTGGCAGACATGGCTTCCTCTCCATTCCCTCCAGGCTTTCCCACTGGTCCTTTCAGACACTCCTCCGGGAAGCCTTCCCTGTCTCCCCGTCCCAATCCAAGTTAGAGCATCTCCTCTGTGCTCCCACCACCACCTTCTGAGTGCCCAGGTACTGCCCTCATCCTGCCTGAACAGCCCCCAGCACTGTCTTGGCCATCTGTTCATGTGCCTGTCTGGCCCTGTGTTCACCTCCTTCCTCACCTCCTTCCTATCTTAGCAGATCAGTCTGCTGTCTCTTTCATCTCCCTCTGTTCCCTTTGTTAACTGTAAAAACATTCAAACCTGTCAAGAATTTTTGTGAGTTTATTTGAGCCAAACGCTCGACAATTGCTGGAAAGCAGAATCTCAATGGATTGGGATAATGCTCCGGAGAACAGCGGTTTTTCACCTATTTTTAAAATTAATTAATTAATTAATATATTTTTACTGATTTCAGAGAAGGGAGAGGAAGAGAGAGACAGAAACATCAATGATGAGAAAAAAATCATTGATTGGCTGCCTAATGCATGCCCCATACTGGGGATTGAGCCCGAAATCCGGGCATGTGCCCTTGACTGGAATCAAACCTGGGATCCTTCAGTCCGTAGGCCGATGTCCTATACACTGAGCCAAACTGGCTAGGGCTTCACCTATTTTCATACATTAAAATCAAAGGAGGAGACATAGGTGGGTTACATGAAATTCATTGGTGATAGATTAGAGAGGTGGGAGAAAGCAAAGGGGGGAAACCTATGGGATTGGATAAAGAGTAAAATGATAGTCACACTTCTTTTACTTAGGTGGGTACAGCATAGTTTACAGTCAACAATTAACATGATAACAATAACAAGGAAGGAATTTGTGGTATCTGTCCTGGCACCCAGGGCATTTGGTTGTGTCCGCAGGCTGACACTCTATCCACTGAGCCAATCGGCCAGGGCCACAGCCCAATTTCTTGCAGGCACTCTCTGTCTCCACACAGTTAATGGCATTGGTACATTGAAAGGGGAGTTCTCACTCCTTTAGAGAAGAGATCCCCTCTTCCTCACAGAAAGTCTGACCCAGCAGGGCCTGAGGAAAGTTCTACAGCACACCGTAAGCCCCCAGCCCTTCCCTACTAAGGCCAGACCTGAAAGAGGTGGGGGCAGAGGGGGTGGTACCGAAAAAAAAAAAAAGGCCACCCTCAACCCCATGCCACTGCATCCAGGACCTCAAACCCAGCCCCTTGTGGCACTGATGGGGGCAACAAATATTTTACAGCAGATTTCTTTGGTCAACCTCATCTGTGGACCTTCTAAAACTGGATCTTCTCTGACAGCTTCTTCCTTTGTAGAAACTTCAGCCTCACTCAGAGTGTGTCCTGGGTATAGGCCCACCTTGTCCCCCACTACAAGGTCCCATTGAGTCCAGCCTGGGCCGGAAAAAGGCCAGTGGGGAAGGGGAAGCCTTGAAGTGGTGGTAGCTGCACCCTCCCACCCCTCCTGCTCCCTCTTGTAGCCCCTCTTTCCTTTACTTAATGCCTCCTTGGACCTCATTCCTTCTCTTAGCTTAAGGTCCCAGCCAAGCCCCTGGAGCCTCTGCCCAGTAGTCTGTGGGCTCTTGGAGGGCAGGACTGACCCCTCTGGGTCTCCCAGAACCCACAGGTGAGCGAGTGAGGCTGTGCAGGGCATGGACCCGGGGAAGGAGTCCATGCATTCTCTGATCAGTGATGAGCACCTGTGGCCCTAATTTGCCCATCCACCCTGCTGCCCACCTCCCAGCAGAGGGTTTCTAAGGTCAGGCCTTGCCATGGCCTCCAGGGGGGCACTGCTCTGGGCGTGGCCAGCTCAAGTCTAGCCTTGGAGGCCCTGAAGTCAGGAGGACCCTGAGGCCATAAGAGGGCTTGGGCAGAGTCCTGAGCCCCGCAGTCGCCTGCCTGAGACTGGGGCTGCCCCGCTCCCACGCTCCTCACAGGGAGGGCGGCCCCCTCCCGCCTGCCCCCACTACCCAGC